TACCGTTAATATCATCGTGGATTTGATTACTTCTAGCGTTAATATCATCGCGGATTTGATTACTTCTAGCGTTAATATCATCGTGGATTTGATTACTTCTAGACGACATGCGTTAATATCATCGTGGATTTGATTACTTCTAGCGTTAATATCATCGTGGATTTGATTACTTCTAGACGACATGCGTTAATATCATCGTGGACAAATGTTGTTAAAGTCATCTTTCTTTTATTAGAATGGCAACTACTGACGTTTCTATTCACCCATTTGTTTTGTATACATTTTCCTTCTCCTCATTAAAATGTGTAAAGTCAGTAAAGAAAAGATAGAATCATTGATTTACATAGAGGCTACGATATCAAACCATGAAAAAAAACAACTGTTATTGTTAATATGTCATCAGATCTTATTTGTTTGCTTTAGAGCAAAGCCACATTGGTTGTCTGCTGTGTCCACCGCGGGGAATCGAACCCTGGATGATATCAGCGTTACAAGTCCGTAAACTTACCGCTGTCCCACCGGGGGACATATCATTAGAACCTTCATTGTTAGAATGTCATTAGAACAGTTACTACTGAGACATCATTAAAAGTGCTATTCACTTGAACACCTACTGTTGAGATGACATAAGAATAAGCACTGTTGGAAAGTTAAACTAACGTTAACGAAGCGCTGATTGTAGTTTATTAGATATGTTATACTATGAAGAAAGCTAACGTAAACTCCAGAACAAGTGAAGGGTTTTTTTTACTTAACTTTTTGTTTCTACAACTGCTTTACGAACGACGTTCTGCTTAAACTGGTTGGCTCGCAAAAAACAACAACTTGTGCTGGAGGTTATGGTCGAGTGTTCCATAGTATAAAGTTGTTAGAACATCGTCAGAACAAGTACTGTTGTCGTACGTGTAAACCAGCGTTCCGTCCGAGATTGATCGGTGCTTCTTGAGAAAATCATGATTTTAAATTTTAATAAAGTATTTAACACTTTCTGTACGATCATAACTTATTATGAAATATTTTCCTATGTATTAGAATTAGATAATATCGATTTAACATTGAAGAAGAATTATAGAAGATGCCATATCTATTCTACATAATATCTTAGTGGAGAGGTTTGTACCTAAGTGGTACAAGTACCTAAGCTGAAAATTGTTCGGTGGCCAAAAAAGTTTGGGAAACGCTGGTATAAACAAACATTGTTGGTACACAATCAGTACAAATATTGTTATATGTTTTAACAAACATTGTTGATACACAATCAGTACAAATATTGTTATATGTTTAAACAAACATTGTTGGTACACAATCAGTACAAATATTGTTATATGTTTAACAAATATTGTTGGTACATACACAATCAGTACAAATATTGTTATATGTTTAAACAAACATTGTTGGTACATACACAATCGGTACAAATAGTGTTATATGTTTAAACAAACATTGTTGGTACATACACAATCAGTACAAATATTGTTATATGTTTAAACAAACATTGTTGGTACACAA